CGAAGAATAAGAGTGCGAAGGGAGACATGTATTGGGACGACGGCGACTCTCTCAACACTATTGAGACAAATCACTATAATTTCTATGAATTTGAATTGTTGTCCAACTGTTCCCTTCATATTGTGGTTAAAACCAAAGGCTATACTTCAGAGAAACCGCACAAAATTGAAAAGATTTCGATCGCAAACACATTGGACTCAAAGCTTAGCGCTTCTATCGATGGAAAACCCATTGAAAATGTTATATCAAAAGACGACTCAACAATATTTCACGTAAATATTGATTTGAATTCCGGAAAAGTTGGGCAGAAATGGGTTATCGATTGGAAAACGGCTGACAATACCTGTAATTTGAAATAATTTGAAATAAATATTGTATTCATTTAAATATTTGTGATTTTAAAGAATTAGTTTTAACTTTTATTTTCAAACTATTGGCACAATATTTCATTGCCTATGATTTTATAATAAGTACCAAATATTGATAACTATTATATAATATTAATTAAAAGTATTTTTGGCATTCATGACAGGAACTAATTTAATAAAATTCAAAGATTTACACTTAATTACAAACAATAATATTAATTAATGATTATTTTAAAAGTATTAATTGTTACGAAAATTGTTAGACATGTTTTGATTATAGACATAATGAAAAAATTAATGAATTAAAATCATTGATATTTGATTACAACCTCAATATTATGCTTAAGTTATTTAATTTGTATTTAATATAACTTATATTAGAACTAATATTTAATCTGAAAAATAATTATTATGTCATTTTAAAACTAAAAGTTACAAATAAATAAATTAGAAATTATTGTTACAAAACTTTACTTAATTTATTGAAAGCTGACGTCATTTGTGATGAAAAAAATCACATTTTGTGAGACAAAGGGATCGCAAAAAGTGGTTACAAATTGTCATAAAAGAGATCCAAAGAGTGACAAAATGCCTGTCATTTCGTCGAAACATTTGATTCCCGGAGACGTTGTCTTCAAATGCAAACCATTGATGGTTTGGAATAAATATAAATACAAAGGAAAACATTGCGATAATTGTCTCAAACCTATGGATCAATTGATGAAATGCTCAAAATGTCTTCAAATGTATTATTGCGACAGAAATTGTCAGTCAATTGACTGGTCTTTCCATAAGAATGAATGCAAAGTCTTCAGAAAGAAGACAATCAGTGAATTTCACCCAATCTCTATGCCATTTCTTCGACTCTATCTTCGGATCAAAAATGACAAAACATTTGCGACCGAAAGACACACTTTGTTTGACGGATCAGATGTTTGTCTCAATGACCTGAAATCCAAAGTCAATGTTAAGAGTATTTTAGTGGAAATTTTTGCGATAATATGCAAACAATTTGGCGTCAGTTTTGATGCCAAAGAACTTCTTCAATGGTATGGATTGATGTGTAAAACTCGCTTTTGTCTCAATCATGCGGTCGATGCAAATGAGCCCAGAAGTGATTCCATGTCTGAAGCACTGTATCTGCAAGTGTTGCCAATCAGTCATTCTTGTTCCCCAAACATGGCTTTTGTCCGCAAAGGTATCAATGAATTACATTTTGATTACAATCAATGAATTAATAGTAAATGTGATCAATAGATGACTCGTTGGAAATCCGTGCCATTAAGTCCATAGCAATCGGCGAAGAGTTGACAATGTCTTGGATTGGACTCCATATGAATCGCAACCAAAGGCGCCGAGAATTGAGCTTTTCTTTTACTGTCTGTCAGTGCCGTAAATGTAGACTACATTTGGATAAAGACATGGATTATGAAGACTTCAATCAACTATTGGATGAGCAGAAGTATTTTTGGATGTCTTCCAAGTTTGCGATTCTTCGGCACCAATACATTGAATATCAAATGGACTCCAATTTCATGTTATATTTGGATGCAATGTATGGAGAGTTTCATCCAATTGTCACTCATTTCCTTTTGGAGTCATTCATGTGTTTCGCAAACAATTCATCCAATCGTTCATTGATTAAGCTTTGGTTCAAACGTATTGAACGGCACGTATTGGTCACCCATGGATCAGACCATCCCTGGTATGAATTGCTTCGCTACATATTTGACAAATCATTGGAAATTATTTTTCTTTAAAATGCAATCATTGATTACAATATAAAACAAATTTTTTAATTACAATTATTTAAAATTACTTTTAATATAATATTTTAACTGAAATTATGTGACATTTAATGAAAATTGAAAACAATTTGAATCAATGGATACTTTTATATTACAACAAATATGAAGAATATTACCGTATATTTCAATATAAAAATGCAAACCATTTGTATAATTATAATCATTTTATAAAATCATTTAATTTTTAATCCCTTTTTAAAAAATACAATTAGAATTTTAATTGATATTAGAAATAAGTGAAAATACGTTTGTTTTTTATTGACAATACTTTTAATTTCGAAACTATATTTGTATTACAAAACAATCTTTAAATAAAATTACTTTTCATTACAAATTTATCATTTAAATTATTTTACAAATTTATTAAAAATTTAATTGTAATAAATTTGATAAAATATGAAATGTTAGCACGAGTTGTGATAATAGTTATTGTTTGGGATATAATTTTAAGTTTGAATTTAATTTATATTTACATGGGATTTAAATTTTTAATAAATTAAATGCTTTCAAATTTTCATTTGTGATGACAATCACATTTTCCTACATTTTGTTAGATAAAGAGATTGTATCGTAATTATCGTAGTAATAGACTATTAATAATAGTAAAGATATATATTGCAAGATGACCTCGTACAATACGTATTACAGATATTACTGTTATTTCTATTGATGCTATAGTTATCCTTGATTAATTATTACCATATTGTATAATAACACAAATGCTGCACCTGTTTTTATACCTTTTATAAATTAATTATATAAATGTATACCATTTGAGTTAAACCTTGTAGAGTCCATAGAGTTAGTGCAAACTGTACTCAAATCTATAGTTTAATTGTTACTATGATTTAATTCAGTGGTTAATTAATTGAACCAAAAATTAAACCTAAACTAAGATTAAATAAATTTACAATAAATACAATTTTAGCTCATATTATACTTTTTCTCTCTGAACACAAGTTATGTTATAAATTATAATATAAATACATTTTAAAATTATAAATAAACAGCATTTGATTAGTTTATAATTAATTTTTAAAGGCAATGTGATTAATGACAACGGTATTAAATGTTAATTTATTAGACTGCACTTTTAGGGCATCATTATAAATGTTGCTAGATCCTTATTTTGTAAAACTAATTGTTTTTTACATGTATAATTTTATAGTAAAACTAATTAATTATTCGTTTCATAAATAGATGCCCGAAAAGAGTGAATAATTGTTAAAAATTTCTAAAACAAGTATAAATAGTGGACAAACTTTTGAATAGTTTATCAGTTGATAATTATCTGCAAAATGTTTGCATTCAAACTTGTCTTAGCGTTTGTATTGAGTTCGATATGTTATTCGGAAAATATCGGGTATAAAGTGGACACGACTTCAATCAAAGCCAATGATTTTGGTTTTGAAGCCTCACTTAAACTCAAAGATACGGCAAAACACAACATATTTGAAAAGTCCAAAGACTCGCAAAGACTGAAACTTTCGGTCACTTATTATACGGAAAATATATTAAGATTCAAGATTTTGGACGCTTTCTACACGAGAGATGAATCGGCCCTTCAGTCAGACTTTCCGTTATTACGAAAACCATTGAAGAAAATTGACGAAAAGCTCAGGAAATATAGATTTAATTTAAATGACGATAATTTTAATATCGAGAGGAAAAATACTTCAACTAAACTGTATGTAAATATTTATAAACCATAAGTTTCTAAAGTTTTCATTATTTGATAACAGATTTGACACATCGATCGGTGGTCTGAAATCTGACGATCAATTCATCCAAATATCAAGTTATTTGCCGTCAAATAATGTGTACGGTTTGGGAGGTAAGACTCACTCGTCTCTCAGACATGACTTGAATAACAAGACGTGGGCCACCTTTGGTCAGCACCCCTTCCATACTGTACTCGAAAACAATGGCAATTCTCACGGAGTTTTGTTACTTAATAACAATCCTAAGGGTATTCATTATAAATGAAAACATATTGACTAAATTTAAAATACAATTTCTTATGATATCCTCCAGAATACACACTAATGCCGGCGCCGGCGATGTCTGTGAAGACAATCGGAGGAATATTGGATTTCTTTGTGTTTATCGGCGATAATCCCGAACACGTCATACAGTTATACACTTCACTCATTGGTCGTCCGTTTTTGCCATCGTTTTGGGCGCTCGGCTTTCAATTAGCGGAACAAAATTACAAGGATTTGAATGAATTGAATACTACAGTCCAGCGGGAGATTAAATCAGGAATCCCTTATGTGAGACATGCGTTCACTTAATGTTATTTGTATTAAAATATAATGTTTTATTTGATTAAAGGACACCCAATATATCGATGGAAATTACAAAAATGAATGGGGACGCAATTTGGCATACGACCCTGTTAATTTCAAAAATCTGCCTAAATTAATATCAGAGACTAAGGACAAGAATAATCTCCATTGGACTCCAATCATAGGCTCCCGTATTGAGGGAAATGAAAATTATTGCAAATCTAGTGATGGAAAGAATGGCAATATATTTGTGGATATAATTAACTCGTTTACATCGACAGTGAGCCGTCTCATCAATCCGCTCAACCTCTTTGGTAATCGAGTGAATCCCAAATCTGTTTCTGCTTCTGATTTACTCAATAACCTGAAGAACTTGTATTCAAACGGAATTCAATTCGACTCACTCGCTATTGTAAGCTATGGTTATGTTATATGATTGCATTCAATGTGTCAAACATGGGTTGCTTTTGTAAAACCTGCCCCACATTTCACGCATTGTATTATACAATGAATTTTGATTTGATCGATATATTTAACCAGGTAAACTTATATTTAATTGTTGTTTTAATAGGATTCGGACGACTCAACACTGGCTATTCCCGCACGAAAGTAATTGATTAGTGTTTTACTTACTTTACAAAATATTAATAAATATTATAATTAATAATTAGGGCATTGACTGAAATAACGGGTAAAAGAGGTTATGTATTATCGCGATCAACATCTGTATCGTCGGGACAATACACGGGTCACTGGTTGGCGGACACACAAAGCACGTGGTCTGAGATGAAGAACTCAGTGATAGGAATGTTGGAATACAATCTCTTCGGCATTCCTTATGTAATCAAAATTATATTCTTTGTACAGAATTTGCATTAATTATATTCGTTGTGAACCATAGGTTGGGGCAGATATTTGTGGTTTTGAAGGCAAGGCTTCGGCCGAACTCTGTCTTCGTTGGCTAGAATTGGGAGCATTTTATCCGTTGAGTCGAAGCAATCACAAGAGCTCTAGCGGTGAACCACAAGACCCTGCGATTTGGGCCGATAGGGGACACCCGGATGTGGCGCTCGCCGCTAACATATCGCTTGAAGTCAGACATCAATTACTTCCCTATTTATATACCCTGTTCTTCAAAGCTCACGTATTGGGCAATACTGTCGCCAGACCTGTGTTTCACGAATACCCGACTGATCCGCAAACCTATGGTATAGACGAGCAGTTTATGTGGGGACCAGTTGTCATGTTTTCACCGATTCTTCGCGAAGTAATAACTTTTTAATTGTTTTTTATACTTAAATTAATTGTGACATATGTTTATCAGAATCAGACAGAAGTGAATTCATACCTTCCCGATGACGTATGGTATGCGCCAAACGCTGAGTTCGTGTCATTGTTTCCACACAAGGGATACGTCAACCAAACCAATCCCTTTCCCTTCCCTCCCACTAATATGAGAGGCGGGTATATAATACCTATGGGTTATACCACACCAATCAATTCGCAGGAGACTAGAGATAATCCCATCGCTGTTGAAGTCTATCCCAAGAATAAGACTGCGAAGGGAGACATGTTTTGGGACGACGGCGACTCTCTCAACAATATTGAGACAAAACAATACAATTTTTATGAATTTGAATTATTCTCCAACTGTTCCCTTCATATTGTGGCCAAAACCAAAGGCTATACTTCAAAGAAACCGCATATCGTTGAAAAGTTTGCGATCGCAAACACAGTCAACTCAAATATAACGGCTTCCGTCGATGGAAAACCCGTTGCATTTGTTGAGTCGAGAGACGACTCGACATTCATTCACGCGAACCTCGATTTGAATGCCGGCAAAGAGGGACAGACATGGGTTGTCGACTGGAAAACCGCTGACAACACCTG